AGCAAAACAGGCATTGTTTTATGCAAACTCACATTCGTTCTGGCTCTACTCTGGCATATATCGCCCACCATTCAAAATCAAGTCCCAACCTACACGTTTTCCTCCTTGAATCCCCTGTTTTACACCAAATATTTCACATTATGAAAGCAAAATGAGTTTAACAACTCCCATTTAGCAATTCACATTTACTTTAAAGTCTGAGCTTAGCATATAACGAGTGCACGGCTGAGGGAAACTCCACCATATGGCCACAAGTATGTCCACTTTAGCTCTACCCCTATTCACACATCTGGACAGCTTTTGCCTTTAATTGCCACTAATGTCTGAACGTGGCATATGACAAGAAGGAATTAACCAAAGACAAAACCACTGACCTGGGGTTTTACTAAGGGATAGCAGACTCGACAGACAGGAAAAAAAGGGAAGTATTACAAGCACAGGTGTGCAGGATGCTTATAGATTCCTGAAAATATGAACTATAAAAAATGTAAAACTATGTATGTGGAACCTGTGTTAATGTCAGTACGAAAACAAGAATCTGAGGAAACAAACACGCCATCAACTTTCAACAGGTAGCAAACACAAGCTTGATGACAAAAGGACTTTGCGGCAAAGCATTTTGAAGAGACGCACATTTCTGGAGTAGCATGCCCTGAAGGACCCTCAAGGAGTGACAGAGAAAATACCGAAAGATCTAGTTCCTGATCAAACATATCTTTTCATGAGTTGTGTCAGTGTTTTCATGCACTAGATGGCATATTCAGCAAACAAATTATAACAAGCAAAACACAGCAAACTCACTTTGAGGACTAGCAATCAAAGGGAGGCAATTTACAAGGATATGACTGGCTGAGGCAGAAAGGATAAAAATTCTCAAGAACAAGTTGAGTTCAATCTCCGCCAACACAGGTATGTAATCTATGTAGTGAATGACAGGTCATACTCCCCCTAACAACAGAGCTGAGATTTACACCCATCCATCCACTTATCAAAAGTGTCATGCAGAAAAATAATCTTCTGACAAAAGAGTGATAGCACACTTGTCCTTCGCAAAAAAAAGAGGAAAAAATAGAAAGTATTTAAGTAAAAAAAAAGTACAGCTTTCAAAATAAATCTCCGCTAGGTTAATAAAGTTGTCACACGCTGGATTTTATGAATTCAATGTCAATAAATAAATAAATATATATAGCATCACTCATGGGCATTTCCCCCTACATGCTTATTTTATTTCCCCTCAACAAACAGGGTGACAATATGTTGCAATCAAGCCTCTCGTCTGATTGGTCGATGCTGTTTTGAGACCCAACTATCCCCTTAAATGCCACATTCCCATGGCTACCTTGTCCAGAATGACTTTGAGCTCGCTGAACTGGAGCAGTTCTGATGGATTTCACTTTAACAGCCTTTAGAAACAGGCTGACAGGTCTGAGAAAGATGGATAAATGTCATCCACTGAAACTGTTGCGTTGATGCATGGGGGCCATGTGCCGTCGCTTGGCGAGGATGTATGAGAAATACACAGTTAACTAAAACTCTTTCCCTAAATCATATGTAAGCTGGCTCATGACTCATGACTCACATGTATGAACTGAGAGAGAAAAACTGACCGTGCAGGAGCTACAATTCGGCCTACTAATAAAATCACTGACTAACAGATTGCCCTAACCACACACAACGCCACAAAAGCTCTCCTTCATGTTAATCTCAGCTTTTGTCCAGCTGTGAATTTGACATGGTTAGGATAAAATATGAGTAACATACGACAAGCAACAAGTTAAAGGACATTTTGACAGTCACTGCTAACAGTGAAATTGCCTGGGTTCAAAACTTCGTTCCACATAAATTAAACATCAAATATTTTTTGATTTGTTGTTAGAGTGTGCATTTTTTGCTGGACAAACAAATTCTTGTTGGAATGTTGTCACGTGGTTAATGCACAGTGCAATATTAATGTGATGTGAGAAATGAGATGTAAGTTAAAATTGAGTCCCATTACATTTCAAGATTATCTGCTATCAAAAGAAATTAGAAGAAAGCGTCTATAACACAGCCACTGAATATAGACTTTTTTAAAAACAAAACTTGTCTCAGATATGGGATATCCTGTGATATGACATTGTCAAATCGTTGATGACAAATTTACTTTGAAATAAAATCACAAACAAAACTGAAAAAAATAATAAAAAATAATACTTTTATTCAGCAAAGATACATTAAGTTGATCAAAAGTGACAAAGTAATTTCTAAGTACAAAATATTTGAAGGCTACTTCAAATAAATTATCTTCTTTTGCACTTACTATTCATCAAAGTATCTTGTGTAATGTATTATTAAACAGCACAACCATTTTCAACAATGATAGTAAGAAATGCTTCTTGCACAAAAGAATAAAAAAAAAAAACATTGGAATTATTTTTGAATCATGTGACATGATGGCTGCTGAAAATTCAGCTTTGCCATCACAGAAATAAATATTATTTTAAAATATATTAAAATAGAAAACGCATTAGGTATTTTGATCAAACAAATGCAGCCTTGGGGAGAGTAAGAGACCTCTTTCTAAAACATTACAAATTCTTATAAATTCCAAACTTTTGAACAGTTATGTAAGAAAAAGTATAATATACAAAACATTTAAACATGGTTGAAATACTTTTCAGCATTTTCTAATTAGTAAGAGCAATATTATTTGTAAAACTATTTCCTGCTTACAGATGCAAAGTTTCATATACATACAGTATAATATTACAATATATACAATATTACAAGCCACATAGAAAATGCATTTTTGTTAAAGGTTTTCCACACTTTTCAATTAATTAGCTATTTCCTATATACAGCAATGTGACACAAAATTAAAGCGGTCATATGATGCTATTTAAATTTTTCCTTTCTCTTTGGAGTGTTACAAGCTCTTGGTGCATAAAGAATATCTGTAAAGTTGCAAAGACTAAAGTCTCAAATCCAAAGAGATATTCTTCATAAAAGTTAAGAGTAAACCACACCTACCTAAAACGGCTCGTTCTAACACGCCCCCACATACCTACGTCACTATCTGGGAAGATTTGCATAATGCCGCCCAAATGTTCACACAAAGAAAGAAGGTGTAACTTTTATTCTCGCTGTAGTATTGTTGTTGCCACTGGATGCAACGAATGCCTCGTTTATAATGGGTTTTAATGTTTTTGTCTCATCGCTCCGGCCTGACAGGGCATCATCACAATATGGTAGGGTCGTAACATTTCCGTCACACACTTGAGGTATTCGGCCAATCATAACGCACTGGATAGCTGGCCAATCACAGCACACCTTGCTTTTCAGACCGATGAGCTTTGTAAAAATCGACGCGTTTCAGAAAGGCGGGGCATAGATGAGAAACAATAATGTACAGTATGTGGAAAATAATGTGTTTTTTGAACCTTAAACCACATAAACACATTTCATTACACCAAATACACAAAATAATGTTCTTTTTAGCAACATCATATGACCCCTTTAAGGGGCAACACAACTTTTACCCACTGACACATCTTACCCCACACTCCCCTACAACTGACCGACCTCTTGGCAAGTCCATCACTCATATGCCAGTGCCCTTGGGAGTCTTTCACCCCCCCCTTTTCACTCTCATGGAGTTGCTGTACCGTCCCTCATGCTGAGTATGGGAAATGAGCCTCCCTATACCAATTTGTCCTGGCCTTCCAGCCCACTGTCCCTGATAGACCACCTGCCCCTGGGCCTCTCATTGCACCCATGTAGGGGGTGGCAGTGCCCTCCATGGGACCTAACCCCCAAACTCCTCTGCCTTAATGGCCACGGTGCTGCCCTATCGTGCCAGGCAGCCAAGCATAGCTCTGCTCCACCAGACGCCAACACTCTCTTGGAATGCTAATGATCTCCTCCATTCCCATCTTCCGTTCTACTCCAGACACATAGCCAACCCTTCCCCCACAATCTGTTGTTTCCGTCAAGCACACGTGCAAAGGATGACAGTTTGTAATAAAAGGTTTGTGTTACTGGAATTAGTCTCCAATACACGTATTCAGGGAAATTATGAGATTCAGACAAACATTTTGAGAGGGTCTTTTCACTGTGAGCGGCTTTTAGCTGGTCATGCACTTGACTGTCGCACTGCGTGAGTTCAGTAGCTCAAGTGCACTTACAGACACTTCTCTCCACACACCCCCACCCCACATACTCGGGCTAAATGAGAAACTAGCATCCCCTTGGGCACATTCATTCCTGGGGTGACTGGAGCAAGTGAAGATTGGAGTCCGTATTTACTTAAAACGAGAACAGGTTTAGAATTGGAGGGGAGGAAAACAGGAATTGCAGCCAGTCCCTAACATACTCTCTATACTAATTCAAGTGGCTCTTGATGTTATTCAAAGTGATTCTTAAACACTGAAGGTGTTTCTGCTGTTTGATGAAAGCAGTCATCAAACCCAGTGTTGTCCAATGGACACCTGCTAGTCAAATCCCACAACAAAACCATATCCCTATTCAATAGATTCCTAAAGCTTACACAGAAACAACCACTGCAACTGTGGGATGCCATACACCCTTATTATGTGCATTCATACACTAAAAGCTAATACAGAGATGATTCATTCATATTTTTAAAACAAATTTGAATTAAATTAAACAATAAAGGCCTGTTTACACTAAGTCTGATGTTAAAAAATAAATCTTAAATTTTTTTAATTATTTGCATATTGTAAAAACTGAATCAACATGTACTGAAAATTTCTAAACTATGAATTATCAATTATTTAAATTATTTATTTGTAATGATTTAAAAGGTGGGGAAAAAAGGGGGAGCATGTATCAACCTAGAAAAAAAAACTGTGGTAAATATCTCTGGAAAAGGCAAGTACAACACTCAAATAGAATTACTCATATAAATAACATAAAAAATACTATGCAACACTCCATCGACAGTTAGTTCTATTCAAGACTATACTACGGAAATGAACTTGAGTTTTCTTGTGTGTGCTTACCAGATCAGAGAAGTCTTGTATTCTTCCGGGAAGTAGACTGGTTGTTTTCCACCACTATCACAGACTAGGCTTCAACTGGCAGCATTTCTTCTTGACTGAACAGGATTCTGAGGAAAATAATGCAGAGATGAAAAAGAACTGTGAGACGCAGAGAATTACTAGCTATGCACCGCTATCAAAAAGCACCATAACACATGCCAAATACTGATGTTGTGTTAAAGCCACAATCAAAACATGAACTCATGTTAAACAGGAGGATTTTGTGATCCTTTCTCTTCCTGTAACTGCAGTCAGAGTGGTGATAGAGCTTTAGAACCTACCAATGAACAACCCAAGATCCAGCCATTGGTTAAATCACAGACTGGACTAAAGACCAATTATTGCTTTGTAACTGCACTTACTGATAATCGTACACAAGAAGAAATATTTTTAGATATATATATATATATATATATATAAAAGACTATTTTGTCTTTTGTAACTGCACTTACTGATAATACGCACACAAGAAGATACATTTTTACAATTTAAAATAAACTTTCTATTTTAATACATTTCAAAATGTAATTTATTCCTGTGATGACAGAACTGTGATACTCCAGTTTTCAGTATCACAAGATCTTTCAGAAATCATTGTAATATGCTGATTTAGCACGCAAGAAACATTTCATATTATTATCAATCTTACAAACAGATGGGCTGCTTCATATTTCTGAAACTATTATACTTTTTCTCAAGATTCTCTAAGGAATAGAAAGTTTAAACTAACAGCATTTATTTGAAATATAAATCTTTTGCCACATTATGAATCCCTTTACTGTCACCTTTGATCAATTTAATGTGTCCTTGCTATAAAAAAGTAGGCTATTAATAATTACAAAAACACACGAAAAAAGGAAAATGACTGAACTGAAACCTTTGAATGATGGTGTATATATGAATAATGAATGAATAATTTAATGATTAATATTAATGTAAGATATATACTGTATTAATGTAAGATGATGATATGTGGGGGTGTGGTTTGGCATGCAGTAGTGCTGGGCGGTATGACCAAAAATTTATATCACAGTATTTTTCAAAATTATCAGTTTTTAAAAAGTTTATTATAAAGTTTCACGGTACATGACGGTATTTTTTTTTTTCATGCATGACCGAGTGTTAACTATATTTTCTACTGATTGAGAGAGGAAATACTGCAGTATATTGACTTAGAATGCCCTATTTTACTGTCATAATGAGTGAATATTGTCAAAAAATACCACACTAAATAGTGACTAAACATGACCCCTTTTAATACATGTTAACCAGGAGTCACTCTCATTTATAATCGCGGCATCGTCTGATAAAATCAACATGCATCTACACTTAAAGAGCAGCTATGCGGTTGTTTTGGCTGTATTACGGTACTTTTTTGTCTCATGCAGCGCACTGCCTGCGTCTGAGTAACAAACTAAAAAAAAAACAACAAACATTAAAAAAAGTGCATGTGATATTAACAGACGAACTACGCTCATATTTATAATTCCAAACAATCAGTAAGCGACAGGTGCTAGGAAACACTGTTTTGTACTCATTTATTGACGAGTCGGCTGCGGTGCGGCCAACTGAATGCGCGGCTTCTCTGCCGCTCACTGCACAGAACAGACGCCGAGAGAGGTCACACTTCTCCGGGAAAGTCAGACCTCGCGTTCGCGGGAAAGCACTGGCGAAATCTTCCAACTGAACCA